CTATTACACATGAGATTATCAGAACTGCAAAACCAATTATTACAATTATTATCAGTTGATATCGTTAATCATTTATTTTATTTATTGTTTATTTGCTTTTTTTACTATTGTTATCTGTACTGCACTTAATTTCTTAAAATTCTTCTCAATTTGAATAGGTATTTTCATTTTCCATTCTTCATAAAAATAATATTGAGTAATTGACATTGAGTATCAAAATATTTAATGACTAAACCATCAGTATGGGTTTTTTGAGTGACAACAATTATCTTATATTTGTTTGGAAGTTCATATTTGTAAAAAAATAAACAATGTTAGTTACAAAGAACACTAAGTAATTTGAAAATTAAAGGAGATGTGTATAGGGAACCACTCAAAGACAATAAATTTCTGTATAAGGCTATGGAAATACATATAGGGTATTCAACTTGAAAATTTACGATTGTTTAAAGTTAATCAAATCCGCCATTATATATCTAACACTCTATATGTACTTAACCTACTTTGAAAGTATGGAAGGAAAGTTATAGTTATCTTTCCTGAGAGTAATGTAGCTCTAGCTTTCTTACTGTACACTAGGCATGCTTTTTTGCTATTTACTGCTCGGTGCTACTTTTTAAAAAAGAAAAATTATTTCGAAAACGGTAAATTTTAGAAGTAGGAAATCATTATAAAAGTCAACCTCAAATCATAAGTAGAAATAAGTAAATAATAAATAAAATAAAATAAAGAAAATGTTCTATTTAGGAAGCTAGAACAAATACAGCCAAATTAGGTATTTGTTTAAACTTACCACACTTACAACAGACCGATTAGCAATTGTATAAATGGTCATATTAGATTCAACTTAGGAGGGATTACTAGAAGCGAGTCAGAAGTTTTCGCTCGTTTACCCTAATTAACGGTATAGAATTTCCTCCTTTTTTATATACCCCACAAGTGCCCAATTAGATGTATGATAGGGTAGGAAAATATATCTACCTATTATGTTGTCTAGTTATTTTTCAACTGTAGTTAAATTATTGTTTAAATAAATTATTTTAATCTATTTACATTAAAATTTTGGTTAAATTATTTTAAATTACTTAAATTCGCTTTCAACCATCACCTAATTATAATATGTTAGTTGCCATTTCTTCCCCAAAAGATTGATTATTTGTAAAAAATAAGCCAAGTAAGGATAAACGTTTTTTTTTCATGTGCTTTCAACCTTACTTGACTTAAGTTTTTATAATTAACCTAACGTAATTATAATATTTCTGAAATAAATACAAAAACGAATGAAAACGGTCCCCCGTTTTACCCCCTAATTCACTATGATTCGCTTTTAAAAAATGTAATCTGACTATTTATACGATTGCTAATATATCTTCTAATCGAGTGGTAGGTACTAGTGTGTGTGTACAAATAATTCGGATGTACTAATAACTTTATAATTAGTGACCTCAATAGATGATTATGGATCATATGCAGCATCCCCGTAATGCGGAAATGATCACTTCCCTACGATTTCCTTATCTCTTGTCTTACATTTAAAAGGGGTAAAAATTTTTTACAATTGTATTGTTTGTATGAGCTGCGCAAATTTTAAGTTTTCTGTTCTACAGCATAATTTTGAAATTTGCTACGCAGAGATTCCTAGGCTTGCATAGCAAAATAACTAAGGAAAACAAAGTATCCTATTATTAGCACATCCGTATCGAAATAGCGCCTGGTCTTTTATTCAAACATCTGTTATTGACCTAATTTTGTATTTATTCAGTTTTATTATCAAACAGCAATTAGTTTGATTAAATTTGTAAAAGAAATAGATTCTTTGGGCCGAAATTATGCATGAAACGGTTTTTGAAACGAAAAGAAAACGTTGTTACAGGTTTCAAAGTTTAATAGGTTAAACATACACAGTTTTAAGTATATAACCCTTTATCAAAAGTTCTTAACAATTTGTAATTTCTAGAGTTCTACATTAAGCATTCAAAGCGTTTTCTTTGTATTACATTATTATTTATATATATTTTGTATTTTATTTTTATTAGATTCATTTATGATCAGAGGTAACATAGAACTAAACATAAACAACTTCGATGCGTTATATAAAATTTGAACTAAAGAAACGGGTCAGTTTGGGAACGTCACGGGGGGCAGGTGAGCTTGGACCGTTAACGGTGTGAATTTAGATATCGGAAAGCTAGTTATCACGGATACATGGTAGCGTGAATAACGCCCATTGATGGATTACCTAAATGAGGATAGTTTCGTCCGTGCGAGACGAACGTTTCCTTTGCGGGTACTTAAAAACAGAAGTGTTTCAAAATAACCCTTTCCTCCAAGGACTATCCAGGTATTAAAAAAAAGCAGTCGAGTGAAGTGGTCGCAGTACCGCTAGTTTTGCAAGGAGGCTGCAGGAATGTATGCGTCAAAACGGAGACTACTTCTCGGACATTTAAATTTTCAGAAAGAAGATTTTTATAAACTTTCTAAGCGTTTGAAATTTTTTCATTAATCCTTTAATAATAATTTCCTGTTCTATTCGCAGTATCGCAATTTGAGCTAACTTACAGTTTACAGTTGATCTGATCGTGAGATACCTACCTTTTGATTAATTTCAACTTGGAGAAGCTTTCATAATAATTTAGAACACTTATCTTGACGGTAAAGAATACACAGAAAATTATAAGAGTATTTGGAATTTAGAATACAAATATCATGATTGAATCATTAGACAAATTGTAGGCGAAGAGTGATTCATAAATCACCGTTTCATTCATTTATCATTACGGTTACTCTTGCTCAAGACGGACGACATCTACTGCCCCTCAGCAAAGTGCTACAGTCAAAACGTACCCCCCCCCTTTCCGCTAGTAGTATAAATTTGAGTATCATCGTGGAATAAATCACCCCAGCGGCATGGCCTAGAGGTTTAGACCATTGTTTAGCATACGGGAGAACGCTGGTTCGATTCCGGGTCCGTCTGCCTTCGTCCAACTTTTTCTGTGGTTTCCTTGGATCACTTAGGCAAATGTTGAGGCAGCAATATTCCACAGATAATCTTTTATTCTCTTCTGTCTTCATTTCGTCCGCCTCATCATTCTCACCCGATCCACCACCCACCCATTCCAACGATTCCTGAAAGCAGGCTGAAGAGGGCCTTCCGCCCTACCTTCCGGCATAGTCCAGAGGGACTGCCCGTCCACCAGCATTATTGGCTGGTGGGAGTGAAACACCCAAAAGTTTTTTTTTTTTTTTGAATAAATCCCCTGTTGACAAAGAACAACTTTTCGGTAGTGTCGCGTAGCTCAATAAATTTTTTATCAAATGTGGCACACAAAAGCACATTTTAGGCACATTTCACCACAATTTTTATTTATTGAAAGTTCCAAGATGGCGGGTACAACATTATGGACATTTAAAACTCGCTTGGTTATGGTCCATGCGAAGACATGCATCTATTGATTTACCCAGTATAAAATTACATATCAGAAGATGTAATATTTCCTTCGCAATTGTGGGCATCTAAAAGTGCCAGTGCAACGCTCACCGCTAAAAAAAGTACTTAAATACCTTCATACGTTTCATTACCAATTTTCTAGCCAAAGTGTATGTGAGAATTGAACTAAATAAAAACACTCGGATTTTGAAACCCTATTGGATGTAGTACAGCCTGTTTCAATCTGTTATTTCTATATTTACAAACCGCATGAGGCTAATAATTTTTGTATACCTTTTACCAGTACCTCTTTATATGTTATATTTACTTATATATGTAAGTACTTTTACCTTTATGGAAGCGGTATGCAAATATTTGTTCCAATGAAATGAGGTATATAAAATGTAAAATTCACTAATTGGTATCGTTATTGTTATGTAATATAATAATAGTTTCAATATTATTTTGTTTTTATCCTTTTTTCCCTACTCAGTACTCATCAAGATTGCGTAAGGTCGATTACCCACTCGTGCGGAACATGAGCTGCCGGTCTTGATGTGACCTATCTAACCGTTAACAGTTAAAACGGAATTGTTTGTAATAATATGTAGGTACTCTAACACTACGATATCGTATAATAAGGGGGCACTTGAATGAACTTGTAGCTTCCGCTATTAGCTGTTTTCTTTTGATGTATGAAATTCTAAAACGAGAAAGTGAGAGTTATTTTGTATTTGTTATAATGACTTAGTTTTAGCACTTAATGATAGAAAATCCTGGTTCCTTAATTTCATTACATATATTATAAATTCTGCTTATGTTTACAAACGTTTTATTTGTTTTTTAGGTATACAGTAACTGTACGTGTATCAGAACAGCAACCTTACCAAGTGAGGGAGTATGTATGGTGTTTAAATTTTCCTCCCAGATGTTCCAAGTATAAAATAAAATTTAAGACGGTCTATAAAACTCAAAAATTAACGAAGATGCGTCCAGTTGAGGATTGCTGTAAAGGATATGCGAAAAATAGCGCGGAAGACCGTTGTATTCCTGTATGTTCAGATGATTGTCTTCATGGAACATGTATAGCTCCTGATACATGCAAGTGTGAAACAGGCTATGGTGGTCCTTCGTGTGATATTTGTAAGTATCAATATTGTAATTATGTATAAAAGTTAGGGATGCGTCAAGTACTCCTCTTACTCCTCAGTATTCGGTGTATTCGACATTTCTTAGTATTCCTATTCGGCGGAATGTTTGGACTCAAGTGACAAATACTTATTTTGATTAAGTATTATGATAAAAAGAGAGGTTTCTAATGTGATGTCGTAAATAAACACATTTTTTGCGCTTAGGTACATTGCAAACGCTGGCTGAACCTACGAGATAGATCAAAATAATGTACTACAATATTGTACATCTTAAAAGGAGCTACAAAAAAGTCCGCGATGGTATATGTATATCTCTTAGGGATAACCCACAATAACCATTTTTATCCTTTACTTTTTATAAGAAATAATGACTTATTTACGAAGCGATTGTAGGCAATACAGCATTAATTCTTATCCAATTAACTATCTTAAATACATTGTGCATTTAATATAGATCAATATGGCCCTTTACAGCATGTAATTTAAATGAATATTTTCGAAGATATTACAGATTTAAAATGCAGGGACATAGCGGTTGCGGCGGTACCGGCCGGGGGCCGGTTTGTATTGTCTAATGACAAAAAAACTGTGAATGTTGTATATAAAGACATTCTGTAGTATATTTAGTATGTTCAGGGGGTATCTTTTGAAGATTTCCCTTTTCGATAGTAATCTAGACAAAACAAAAATATATTTAGTATCAGCATTTCACCCGTTTGAAGCTGGGGCGGGTCACTAGTTCTTTATAAACATAACTAGATCGCATAGTGCTTGCAGCTTGTATTTTATGCACTGTTCAAGATAAATTGTGGGTGAGATCTTTAATTTTCTGGTATAAAAATTCCACACTGTAATAAATAAAAAAAAAGAAATACTAAACTAAATAAACGCACAAGATGATGATCGTTGGGGCCCATTCTGCCATCTGATCTCGAAGCTTCAACATGGTGGGATAGTAAAATAATTATGTAAAATTATTAAACGATAGTTTCACTTATGCATCTTCAGTTATTTTCTGGGTTGATTGACAGGTGGCTTGCATTTATTGACCACTACCCTTACCAAAATACGAAGATGTTCAGACCGCTATAAGATGAACATATAAAATCACTCGCGCTACAATTTTTATAAATTGAACCTAGTAATTCGTCGGAGTACTTGATTTGACAAACATAAAACCGAGTAACACTCGGTAAAAATTGCACTCGTCTTTTGTTTGGTTTGCATAGAAAATTGTTGTTTTAGCATGTCCCTCTGGTTATTGGGGAAGGGATTGCCAAATGGAATGCTTATGCAAAAACAACTCCACCTGTGATCCATTTAATGGCGAATGCCGTTGCGCAAGAGGTTGGACTGGGAGATACTGTGAAAATAAATGTACACCCGGAAGTTACGGCCAAAATTGCGAAGAGAAATGTAGATGCGTTTATGGCGATTGTGATCATGTTTCAGGAGAATGTTTTTGTCATCCAGGATGGATGGGTCCTTTGTGAGTTTATACATTATATGAATATAGCCGTGCCTTTGCGAATAATCAATTGAGATCATTACAGATATCTGTGTGTTTCGTTAATATGACGTATTGTTAAATGTATTATAGGTGTGATGATAAATGTCCCAACGGTAAACACGGCTATGAATGTAAATCGGATTGTCGATGCCAAAATGGGGGTGAGTGCGATCCTGAATCGGGAAAATGTAAATGTGGTCCTGGTTGGATTGGACTAGTATGTGCAAATCGGTGTCCATTCGGATTCTATGGCGAAAATTGTTCTCAGCCTTGTGATTGCTACAACGGTGCATCCTGTCATCATATTAGTGGCGCTTGCGAATGTCAACCAGGATTTATGGGTGATAGGTAAGAACTGAGGCTAATTTTTTTTTACTACATTACCTTGCGTTCAATGATTATTTTCTATTGTACCAGTAGTAACGGTAAAACTTTCAAATCGCGGCTTTTTCGAAAATGCAACTTTTTTGCTGGAAATGGCTTAAAATGACCTAATAATGAAAAACTTACATGAAATAATCGGAGGGAAGGTGTTTTAAACAATTTTCTTTCTAAATAAATATTTTAAAGGTACCATACAAGTATATAACCTATAGGAATTTCACAGTCATTTATCATAGATAACAGTCACTACTCAGCCGTTTCTGACTTCGTTTCTACAGTTCCAACTTGCATTCATTTAAAAAGTGATACCCGCTCAGCAGTTGTATATACAATATAAATATATACAGATTATTACTATTCGAGGAAGATACAGTTATAATGTTTGTATATAAAATAGGGGAAGGGGGCAGTGTCGAATACGTTAATCTAACCTACTCAACGTAATACAATACAAACCAACTTAAGTTAGGTTAGGTTAAGGTATGCAGCGGTGCCCCCATTTCCCTATTTTATAAACATACATTATACCTGTACCTTCCTCGAATGGGAACAGTTTGTATCCATTTATATCGTATGTGACTTTTGAGCGGATACCACTTTTTAAGTGAATTTAACTTGAACTGTAGAGACGAAGTCAGAAACGGCTGAGTAGTGACTATTAACTATGGTAAGTGGCTGTGAAATTCGCATAGGTTATATAACTATAAAATATCTATTTACAAAGAAAATCGTTTAAACCACATTCCACCAATTTTTTTCTTCTGAGATTCTTATAAATAGACGTATTCCAACTAAGGCAAGAGTTTAACCGTTAGCGGAAAAAACGGACTGTTAATTGTAATCTAAAAGTGCTTATTTTCACTTAAAACTACTCATAACACCCCCCCCCCCGATTATTTCGTGTAAATTTTTCATTATTAGGTCATTTTCAGCCATTTTCAACAAGAAAAAGTTGCATTTTCGAAAAAGCCGCGATTTGGAAGTTTTACCAACCTAACTTATTTATAATTATAATTATTAATAAACATTTTTATTGCATCTTCGTGCTTTAAATTTTTGCATACTATTGGTTTTAGGGGGGAAACTCGGTGTTAATAAGGGCTCGTAGAACACGCTCATCTATTTTAGCAATCTTTGTAACATTGTTAGGTTTAACATCTGTTTCAATATTTTCGAATTTCAAATTATAAAGCTAGTTTTTTACTTTTCCTTGAGGAATATTTAAATTTTTGTAAGTTTGTGCCCAGGGATTAAAATTCTATAGGTACAAACAATGGAATTTCGCATATTGTAAGATAACGACTTTTTGACAATTACTTAACTTAAAATACTTCATCAATGTCACAATTAATTGTCTACAAGTTGAAGTCACTATCAATATGTATAAATAAAAAATAAACGTGTGTGTACACTTTACAATCATAACTACTCTGCGCAGACCCAACCGGTGTTTTATGTGATAGTAGCATGATGGTTGCATGTCGGTAGCTGTGGTGGTGTGGGAGACATGGTGCTTAAAAGGGTCGATCTGGGGCATTTCCATATTTCAATCTAAATTCCCTAAAAAATATTTGGAATCTCATATAACGTTGGAAATTTTTCCAATTTGGGGGGTGTGTGGATTTGTGGGTCGACCACCGGTCATCAAACACCAGTTTAGAATAAGTAAAACTGCACTAGAAAGTTCTTGAATGTTTCTAACGTTGCCGCCGCTAGAATGTTTTGGAATGTCTAAGATTGTCCTCAGGTACAATATTATAGAATAGTGTTGCAATAGACCTCTGCAATTACGGAAGTTCCGCATACATTTTCACGTCCGCTTCTGTATCTGGTTCCGAAGTTTTGTAACGGAAGCTTAACAAAATCTTATTTCTCATCTTTTTGAAAATCAATATATCAGAACAAAAAAACAAGCCGTAAAAATTTATTGTTTTTATTTGTTGGCTGAACTTTTTGCCCGTTTTCAAAACACAATTTAAATGGAATTGTTAGTTACAAAGCTGCATGTTGTGCAAGTACCTATGTTAGCTTTCAACGACCCCTCTGTAACATTCTGAACGTATTATTATCAACAGTTTATGTTTATAAAGTATTGGCGTTAATGCAGCGTTATAGTCGGTAAAATTTTGTTAATAAAATAACTTTATTATAGTTTATGGCCCAAATCTATTTCCTGATATTTCGTATGTTGATATTTTCCAAATTTTTTTATCTTATTCGTTTCGTACTTAATCTAAAGACGTCTAGGACTTTCGGTTCCCCCTGAGTCTAATAATTTCATTTCGAAAATACTAATACAGTTATAGCTTTTATTTATTTTGTATAGTGTTTACTCAGTGGTGTAAAATTTAATTTAAAAGTGCAATTTTGAAGTCCATTTGGGATTATTTTGTTGATATTAACGATGCTAAATGCAAAATTTGTAGGTATCAAAATATTCGCAAAAAGGGCGCTGCATTAAAGAATTACCTAAAACCATTACATTTCCGCTTCCGCAAAAATTTACTATTTACTTCTGTTTCATTATGACACTTCCGTTACATCACTATTGTAGAGTGAATTGGATCGGAAGATTCAAGAACGAGGAAGGACCATTATGTGTTACTGGTGGGGCTGACTAACAATGCATTTAGGAAATTTTCGTATATTTCCACCTTCGCTTTAAATGAAAAATGTTTGGAATCCCCTATAATGTTCGATACTTTTACAAATCAGATGATCGGCGGTCAAACACCTGTTTAGAATAAGTGAAAACGTACCTACGTATGTTCTTGAATGCTTCTAGGGTAGTCCTGATCTTGGTTGGAATCTTCTATAATATTCGAGATTTCTTTAGTCTGATGCGTGTTTGGGTTTGCAAAATCGACCAACTAACACCCGTTTAAATTAAGTGAGAATGTAAACCTGGCAGAGCGAGTAGTCGTTGGCTGGTAAATAAATAAATTCTAAATCAGAAAAAAAAAAGTTTCATATTCTTTTCCTTATAACAAATAAAAAGGAAAAAGCAGTTTTACAAATTTATTAACTAAAATACAAGATTCGTTAGAATTTAAAAATATATACACTAAACAGAATTCTCAATGAGCATCACTCAAAAGAAAGTAAACGGGTACCCTCATTGTACTGGATTTTTCGGGCCACTGTCAAACACTATTTGCCAGTTAATTAAAAAATTAAAAAGAAGACTCACCCCTAATTACCACAAAAACTTTTTGAGCGGACACGTGTTTCGCCCACTTCATACTGTCTCGCGTTGATAATGCTCACGTATAAAGTGGGCGAAACACGTGTCCGCTCAAAAAGTTTTTGTGGTAAATAGAGGTGAGTCTTCTTTTTAATTTTTTAATTAACTGGCAATATAGTGTTTACCACAGTCTCCTTTTTCTACTTTGACTATTTGCCAGGGTTGAAAATTGAACCTTCACTACTAAAATCATTTATAACACAAAGTGAGTATTTTCTGCCTGACCGACCGGGTTTTTAAATATTCTTAAAAATGTCAACATAACCGACAGGATCTGCTTAGACTACACTGTAATTATAATTTCATTTGTTTTTTAGATGTTTGGATATTTGTCCAAGTGGTACATATGGATATAATTGCTCACAGCAATGTGACTGTTTAAACAGTGCTACATGTTCTTCAGCAAGTGGAAAATGTAATTGTGCTCATGGATGGCAAGGTAAACGATGTAGTGAGAGAATTTGTAAGGACGATCTCTGGGGAGAAAAATGCCAAAATACTTGCGAATGCAATAGGTGAGTCAATTCATTTACTTAAATGAATTAAATAAAAATTCAAAAAGAACTAATCTTTTTTGGAACCCATTTATGATATTGCCTATCCGGCTCAAAACATAGTACTGTGTCAATTAGAAAAAACATTAAGGTGAAATTAACTTTTCTAAATTAATGAGGGTTCAATCCCCTTCGAGAATATTCCATACAACTAGAAAAACTAAATATAAATAAAAAGCGCATTAAATGAGTAACAGAATGGGCTTTATACTGTTTAAATATTTAGTAAAAAAATAAGATCCTGCAAACAGTAATTTCGAAATTTATAATTTGATAGTTTTCATATTACATGCTATTTAATTTATAAGATAATAAACAATAGAAACCTGTTAATAGAAACATAAGTGCTTAAAAAGTTACACAATAGAAATACATGACTTGACATCCACTTTGATTTTTTTTTGAGTGGGAAAAATTTTACAATAGAACTAATGTTTTTGGTGGGATGTGAATAGTACAAACGTTACAAATTGTACCATTTAAAATTTTAACAAGGTTCTACGGTTTACATTTGTATTAATTGGCTATAGATATGTAATTCTGAATAACACGTAGAAATTCTGAAATATGACCTTGTTAACTTTTTTTTAACACATATTACAATTAGTTTCATTAATGGATGTCGATTTATTGTTCTATTTTATCATTTCGGAAATTTCATTACAAGTTATAGACATATCGCCAAGTACTGATATGTACTAACTGCAATATTGCAAATTTTGACATGGGTCTTATGAAGGTATTTACTTGTCAAACCGAATCTATGACGCAGCTTGTATATGTGATTAATAAAGAACAATAACTTGGTCAACAACTATCGGACGTGGATCGCGATTTTTATCTCATTTTGTTCTTTATTAATTTGGTTTACGTGCGTAATGTATGAGCTGCGGAGCAGGTTCAGTTTGACAAGTAAATTCCTTCATAAGGCTCTTGTCAAATATTTGAAATACTAGTTGGTAGTAAAAACCAGTAGGCCCATAAAACATAGAGATATCGTGTTAACAGAACTTGCTCGTGTGGAGTAACAATTTCGACAATGGTTTATCAAAATTGCCTATGGCGTGCGGTGAGAATTAATAAATTCGAAAAAATTACCACGTCTGGTAGTTCCGATAAGTTACTTATTGTTCTTTATTTAAGTCTCCAATATAGAAATTTGAAGTGGTCAGGTGTTCTGTCGAAACTGCCAGATGTGGATCGCGATTTCGATCTTATTGGATCTCATCAGCGAGTTTCGACAGAACACAAACAGACCAAATTTACCTGCTGTTCTAACAGCGCGTTTTATAAAATCCTACAAATGGCGCGGTAAACGCCATCTGTAGTACAATTATACATTTTGCGGAATCAATATGAATTCAAGCGTAGCTCACCACTACGTGATAGTGAAGTGGTCAGTATTCTGTCGATACTGCCAGACGCGGATCGCGATTTCGATCTCGTTGGATCCCATCACATGATCTCGTTTATTTTAAAATTACTTTAAGTGATGTTTGATCTTGATTATACGAAGGTTTCGTCAACGGAAATAAGAGATATATACAAACAAAAACCACAAAGGAAAAATCTACTGTGAAAATATTTATTCAATGTAAATTACCTATAAGTATTATTTGACCGGCACTGGACTAATTCGCTCCCCTCCTACGTGCGTAAGCATAGAAATTGCTCTACTACGACCATCGACGTAAAGTATGGACGTGCCTTAGCCGTGTGTCATTGTAATAATTTCTTGGCTCGAAAAATGAGGGAGATGGCGTATGGTTTCGGACTAATGCTATCTCTTTCATGACAGCTTACGCACTATCGTGAGAGAGATGGATATTGTCCGAAACTTCGTTCCATCTCTTTCTTTCGTTGTACCTCAATTCTGACCGCTAAGGTACGTTCATTAGTAGACGTCGATGACTACGACCCTTTACTCGACTTCGGAATGTCTCATATTTCTATTGTCACGAATTGATCAGTGCACTTTTATCTAAAAAAATGCTCATATTTTTTGGAGTACAGTTGTGTTTATGCCCCACGTTGTTGCATCGTTGCTAGGTGACATGCTACTAGCCAGTGTCAAAAATTATTACTGCTACAAAATATTTTTAAATTGAAACTTTTATTACATCGCCTCAAATTTTTTCGTCCATCTATCGCATGTCGCATTACAGCCGGCCGCGGAGTAGGGGTAAAAGTGAAAGGCACTCGGCAAAACAACTAACGCCAATATTGTGGCACCTACGCCTCTCAGGAGCTAACCCAGATTGAAATTAAAATTTATAGTTAGATACCTGTCTACTATTGATTTCCATTTATCATTCCCATTTTCCATCATTAAGATAAGATTAAGAACGCGATTTTAACACCCTAATTCGAATAATTTTCCGAAATTTTACAGTTACATGCCTACAATCCGAAAAGTTTCACTTACATCGTGGTTTCATAAAATCACACAATTGTTTTTTTGTTATTTGGGACTGCCCTTAACTGTAATTTTAGATCTTTTCATTTATTTGGAGACCTTCAGCCTCTTATCAACGTCGCATCCAAATAGCCCATAATTTGTTGGAATTGCTAAAAGAGTCTCCTTAAGAGTTTTGACCAGGTTTCCATAAGTGGATATTTATAAAATATTTAGTACTAGAACATTAACGACCTGCTTTATAAAACGCAGTTGCGTATCGTTACTTCGATGACAATGCATTGCAGTGTTTCTCTTCATGTAAATTATAACTGTTGGAGTATTAATTGATATCGGTTGTATTTACGCTTATCTAAGATTGATAAAGGCGGAAAAAAGTTAGACGCATGTTAGAAAGAGAGTTAAAAAACTGCAGCATTGAAACATGTAGAATTAAAAGATTAAAGATGTGTTTATTATATTTTCTTCATTATTTATATACTTAATTATTAATGTGTGTTCTTTTTGAATCGTAATGATATTTCATTTCAACTATACCAATTCCTTTTTATTTATGTATGTAGGGATAATACGGAGGTGTGCCATCCATGGACTGGTGAGTGTGAATGTAAAGCTGGTTGGAACAGCAAAGACTGCTCGAGACAGTGTCCTATTTTAACATACGGAAAAGGCTGCCACGGTATTTGCAGTTGTAAAAATAATGCTCAATGTTCACCTGTTGATGGAAGTTGTATTTGCCCACCCGGGTTTCGAGGTAAAGATTGTAGCGAAGAGTGCGGCTTGGGTACTTTCGGAGAAGATTGTACACAAAAATGCAACTGTGAGTTTTGAACAATATCTTTTTGGCAGTTTATAAACTTTGTATGGGTTTTATTTATTTTTAAAGGTAAAAATGGTGCAACGTGTTCTTCTGAAACAGGACAGTGTTTTTGTGCTCCTGGATGGGAAGGTCAATATTGCGACAGACCCTGCAGCGAAGAGAAGTATGGGATCCATTGTAATGAAAAATGCAACTGTAAAAATGGTGCGGCATGCAATCCACAAAATGGTAAGTGTTTTCATTATTACAAAATTGTTAGCACAAAGTTTAAGCAAATCTATTTCAATCCACCATATGGTTACATATTTATTTATGTTGATGGACTGGTGTTTTGGATGTAGTAAACATTCAGGGTTGAATATTTTGGGTATAGGCCTATTAAATTGTCTAAAAATTAGGTACCTACATTAACATTTTGGGCAGGCAGCAATTAGGTTTAAAAATGTAAGAGGGGTAACAGTAAGTTTAAAAACTAGTGCCTGAAAAGAACAGAGTAGCAACCAATACGAATTCTGCCAAGTGACAAAGTCTCCGATAGTAGCACAAGTAAAATAATGTTATTAATGTTTGTTGGTTAATTCGTGGTTGCCACATTTCGTTTGTCTTTTGTAACTTGGAAATATCTCAGAAACTACTAATTGTAAGTTTAAAAACAAATCATGTTTAACAAACTTACAATTAAATAACGCATATTGATTCTAATTTTTTATAGAGAAATTAAACTGTTTAAAATAAAAAATTTTGTAACTTGTAATGGAAGGAATACTGTGTCTATCCCCGGTTTAGTCGGAGGAACTCAGTCATGACATCTAGTAGTTTGGCAGAGCATTATCGGTCCCATGCCTGAAAATTCAAATTCGTATTTCAACTACAATCGTTGTTTATAGATAATAAGTATCTAGCAGACTTTCTAATTAAAAGAAATACCTACTTCAAAAAGTGAAAAATTTATTGGTCAAATTGTTAATTATATCCATACGTACTACGACTTTAATTTTAAGTTCTGCACCCTGAAAGCGATCTGACAATATTATTGTTCAATCTTTATGAAGTAATATCGATTTTACATTTAGATCTGGGGAATGGGCATTTTCGAACACTCAAAAATGTATAGTTTTGATTAATTTTTACGGGGAATGCTATTATGTAGCTATGGAACATAATTAATATAATAAATAGCAATACCTGCTTATATCCTAATGTTTACTACACTCTTTGTAAACAGGTTCTTGTACATGTAGCCCCGGATTTACCGGTGAGTTGTGTGAAAAACGCTGCGAGTTTGGATATTTTGGTCAAAATTGTCAGCAGGAGTGTCAGTGTAATATAGATAATTCAGACGGGTGCGATCCAGTTACTGGAAAATGTATTTGCAAAAAGAGTTGGAAAGGTACGTAACACGGTTCCTATTATTTAAATGTAATTATAGTTAGATCTTCCTCTATGATTTTGTACTATATCGTCATCTAGTGATAATTACTTTTAATTATAGTAATTCATAATGTTTAACAAGGCGTTTTAAAGTCATGTACTTATCAAGTTGAATCTGCAACGTAATTTGTATACCTGATAGGCATGCAAACCAAAATAATATCACGTATATTTGCTACGTTGTGGATTCAGTTTGACAGTAGATACCTTAAGGAACATGGTATACAACGATTAACGGTAAATGTCAGCAGATGGCGATATGCTGTCAAGAATTTGATTAATTACTTTGCATTTATGGAGTAACTTCGGTTTGGTCGGTGATTTGTCGAAACTATCTTTGGCATGCTGATAAAAACTAATAAGCTTGATCTACATCTGGTAGTTTTTATAAATTGCTGACCCAAGAAGTTAATGTTTGTGTGATCTAACAGCGCGTT